AGTATTGCGAGGTAAGCGGTGAAGTAAAAATGCAAAAACCCCAACGCCTCTAAAGCTCCGCATTCAACTCTCTTTCCACATGCATCCACAGAATAGCTCACCGTCCGTCCACATAACGTGCCGCGGGCGCCAAGTAACATTTCAGTTCTTTTCACTAACATACGAAGTGTAGTCCGTAACCACGATTCTATTTCTTGTGCTGCTGACACTACTGCCGCTGACATTATTGTATTAACTGAGACTTGGTTGAACGAATCTGTACGGGACAGTGAAATTTTTTCTGCTCAAAAGTGCTACAATATTTTCCGATGCGATCGCTCCTCAAAGCGTGGCGGTGGTGTCTTAGTTGCTGTTAACCACAATTTGGAATGCTCGCAAGTCAATGTCACTACAAATCTTGAGTTCACTTGCGTCCAAATATCTGTTAACTTCACGAAGTTTCTACTCTGTGTATGTTATCGTCCGCCGTCTACGCCACTAGGCTTTTGTAATGATCTTCACGACACTCTTAACACCATTCACATAAAGTTTTCTAATCAGCAGATATTTCTTTTCGGTGACTTCAATTTTCCCGATGTTAACTGGCAGTCACCCGCTATCTCAAGTGAAGAAACATGCGAATCATCAAATTTTGTGGCCCTCTGTTCAACGTTTTCTTTGACTCAGGTTATCACTGAGCCAACAAGAATAACTGATTCCACGTCTAACACACTTGACCTATTGTTAACAACAGCTCCCGATCTTGTCACCGACATCAGCTATTTACCAAAAATTAGCGATCACTCCGTAATACACGTAATGTTGAATGTCCCAACTCGTTTGTCCCATAATAACCCTAAGGTTATTTATGATTACGGAAAGGCTAACTTTTCGGCCATTAATGATGGGCTGAAGATTTTTCTGGATGAGTTTCTCGTTGGTTTCGACGAGAGATCGGTCACTGAAAACTGGGACCTGTTTAAAAGTACAATTCACAATTTAATTAAACATCATATTCCCCAAAAGGTCATTACCGCTAACCGTCAGTTTCCATGGTTCAGCCGTGCATTAAAACGCCTTGCTAACAAAAAAAGGCGTTTCTTCATCAGAGCAAAGCGGTCTCGAAAATCGGAGCATTGGTCAGCACTTAAGGATGTCGTATGTACATATAAGAAAGCTTTAAAGCAAGCAAAACATAAGTTTATGAATGTTACATTACCTGAACTTCTTTCCGCAAACCCTAAAAAATTCTGGAGTCTGATTAAGGATACAGATGATTCGACAATTCCTCTTGTTGATTTGCAGTCAAACCGAATTAGCAACGCTAATTGCGCCGCCGCTCTGAATGACACGTTTGCAAAAGCATTTTCCAGTTGTACTAACTCGTCACTCCCTGCCTGTCACACTCATTATGATTTCCCCATGGACCCTGTTCATTTTGATTTTGATGGCAATGTACGCATTATTGAGAGCCTAAAATTATCTTCTAGTTGTGGTCCCGATGACATTAATACAAAAGTGCTCAAAAACACTTCGGTTTATTCTGCTATAATATTATCCAAAATATTTAATCAGTCTCTTCAGTCAGGGGAGATTCCAGATGACAGGAAAATAGGTAAAGTGATTCCACTCCATAAATCTGGTGACAAACATTCTGCTTCGAACTATCGCCCCATTTCGTTAACGAGTATTTCTTGTAAAATATTTGAACACGTCATCGCTTCCCACTTTGAAAAATTTCTTGAATCATTCTCATTTTTTTCACCTGAGCAACATGGCTTTAGAAAATTATTTTCGTGTGAAACGCAGTTGGTAGCCTTCACAAACGACCTTCATTCTGTACTTGATAATGGTTCCGCGCTGATTGCATATTCATAGACTTTTGTAAGGCATTCGATAAAGTTCCCCACAGCCTGCTTCTTCACAAACTAAGCCAACTGAATATCGACCCTAACGTTCTTAAGTGGATTAAATGTTTTCTAACAGATCGCTCTCAATTTGTTCATGTTAATGGTTTTAACTCTTCAACTCTACCTGTCACTTCAGGCGTCCCACAAGGCTCAGTTTTAGGTCCACTGCTTTTTCTTATATATATTAATGATCTGCCTAGCAATCTGACTTCTTCTGTGAAACTTTTTGCCGATGACTGTGTTATTTACCGCGAAATAAAAAATGCTACTGACGTTTCTTTGCTTCAACAGGACCTTGACGCTATAGATAATTGGTGCTCGACTTGGCATATAACACTTAATATTAATAAATGTAAAGTAATGCTGTTCTCACGCCAACCTAAATTAAAGCCTTCCTCTTACAGTATAAGCAGCTCCCCATTGCTACCAGTGTCGTCCTATAAATACCTCGGGGTTATTTTAACAGCAGACCTGAGTTGGAATATGCATGTCTCCTCTATTATCTTAAATGCTAACCGGACGCTTGGTTTTATTCGGCGACATTTTTCTCTAGCCCCCGCTTCTGTTAAACTGTTATTGTACAAGTCACTTGTTCGATCTAAACTCGAATACGCGTCTTCAGTATGGGACCCATGCAATAATTCACTAATAAATGCACTTGAAGCAACCCAAAACAGAGCATCGCGTTTCATCCTTCACGATTACGGCTGTTTATCAAGTGTAACGCAAATGAAAGCAACTCTATCTCTTGAACCACTCACACTGTGCAGGAAGATATCACGCATGTGCCTTTTCTTTAAAATCTATAAATTGAACGCCACCCTTAAAACTGCTCTTATCTTACCCCCTGCTCATGTTTCATTGCGCATAGATCATTCTTGCAAAGTTGGTATCCCGAAATGTCGCACTGTAGCATATTCAAATTCGTTTATTCCTAGAACTACATCAGAGTGGAATCGCCTGCCACCATCCCTAGTGCTTACTAACAATATTGACCAGTTTAGGAAAAAAGTGTCTGATTACTTCACTTCTGTGTAGCTTGAACTTTTTTTTTCCCCACAGTGTTTATTTACCTTATAATGTGTCATATGCATGCAGTTGTCAATGTTAGTTTTGTTATCTTTTTATGCTAGAGGCAATACCTGTGTAGATTTGTGTTAAACTTTTGTATACTTCTACGCACCGCTGGATACTTGTTTGTTCAGTGCTTTTGTATATTTGCTCATATGTGTGCAATGTTTGTACAATTCGAGCACCTTTCAACATCCTGATCCTGTACCACTCCCCTCAACAATGCCCTCTGGGCCATGAGGGTACCTGAAATAAATAAATAATTAAATATCAAGTCATACAAGCTTGTGTCAATACATCACCCACATTACAAGGCGACAGCCAGCACCACAATTGAATTTTCATGCAGCAGACAGCGTGTTGCTCCCAGGCCTATAGGTTAGCATGCAAAAGGCATGCTGTTCTTGTTTTCATAAAGATCCGGCCATGGGCATTGGTGTCGGCGTGTCCGTCCTTGGTTGTGAGCAAAAAATCATCTTGTCTGTCACTAAAGATTTAAAAAGGTGCAAATAAAAAAAAATAATAAGTCACGTGCTGCTATGCCCTCGCAGCAACAAGGACCAAGTGGATGTAGTCGCGACGAGGGGAATGCGGGGGCCATCAAATAAAGGAGTTGGTTTTGGTAATGCATGTGGCAGCATACTTCTTCCCCTGCCTCTCCAGTGCAGTGGTGACTCCGGACCATGGAACAACATTCCAGAATATTCCAACGGACAATTCCTCCGAGCCAAGTATAACCACTTATCCATCTATCACCATGTAGTAAGGAGCAATTCAACCAAAGTTTTCTTTTGTTCATTAATTTAGCTCAAGTTCGAGTGAGCATTGAACCCGGACCGTTTCCATGGCAAGCAGGAGTTGCACCACGCAGCCATGCATCTTTTTGAAAGTACAGTGAAAATAACTTTCATGCTTCACAAACACACACGTCCAGTATACAGGCTTCACAATGCAACATGTATTATCGCAGTAATATTGCGTGGTTCAAGTGTACATTGCCATCGGGCAACAGAGCATGTGATTATCATAACAACTTTGTGGTTTAAAGCGAGCCGCCCTTTACAAAAGGCACAGACATTACTGCACATATTCCCTCAAGACCACGTAGTGCATGAATAGGCAGTTCGAAAAAATTGCCCGTAGTTTAAAGCTCGTGATATACTGCTCGTGAAAAACTGCTCGTGATTTAAAGCATGCTACTCATTACACAGAATCCAGCCATCTACAAAAGCTTTGCTGACAAAAGCCACTTTCTACTTTATCAATTACATTGTAGTAATCAACAACTTCAACTTCTCGAGCAACATTATACAATAAAACTGCACTAAATGGTTGAAGTACCCACTAGGGACGAATATTGCTATCACATTCTACTCCTGAAAGCGAATCATAAGGATTCCTCTTTTGATTTTTGGCCGCGTTTTGCATTTTAATGCAAAAGTATTAATTTGGCAGCTTTGGGAAGGAGCCTCCTGTCTGCAAAAGGCATGTGCACAAAACATGTGACCTCTCCCGCCAGTGTTGACTGATGCCAGCACAAACAACTGCCGCAAAAACCAGGGGAAGCAGGAGAGGGAAATCTGCTCAGCGAATGGGATACTTAAAGGGCCTTGGTCAGGTGGGCCTCCATAGGGGTTGAAGAAACAGCATCCTCTCTTTCATGCGTAGCCGAAATCAGCATCGCCTCATTCTTTATGCGACAACTAGAGAGCACCACTTCGCAACACACCTCAGCAATGTGGCCAGAAAAAATGCTTTCATGTCACATAATATCATCTTAGGGTATGCCGTACAACTTCGCTTTTCACAATCTCACTTCAAGGTATCAAAAAAATATTGGAGAAATATTTCTTTAATATGTCCGATTCAACTTGCACTTAAACTTAAATATTCTAATTCGCTTTCGACCCAAAAGTTCACTGACTGCAGAGGCCAACTTGTAGCTTACGGCTTTGATGTGCCGTTTCTTTTCAGTCACAAGTACTTTTCAGGCATAGGCGCGGTCAGAAATTGCTCCCTGAACGCAGTGGGAGAGCTCACTTTGGTAATGCCCTGTGGGGCGAGCTTGGCACAGACGAGGCCACCCTTGAAGAAGGGGTCGGCCAGAGGAGCTTTCTGTCGAAGGTCGCACGACTGCACCTCCTGGCAGTGGACGCTCCAGTTGAGGCAGCCACACACCCGCAATCCCGACATGGCTGCTGCACCTGGCCTGCGTTATAGAATGGCAGCTATCCTCAGACCAACGGTTCAGCAGACGCATGGGAGATTTATTTTATTGACGAGTTCAGTACCTAATCAATTTTCAATCCTCACTTCTCACACGCATTTTTTATATATAAGTTCATGTTTCCTTCAAAGAAACCTTTCATGTGAGAGAGCAGTGCGGTGTGTGTTGCTACTCTTTCTGTCTTCGTTTATTTCGTGAGCTGTTTTCTTCAAAGATAAATAAGCACCAACTAGCCATACTTCTCATTTCATTTCAAGGTGGCTCATGTGGTGCTTACTGACATGCCCAGTCTCAAGCATCAGAAGCATAAGACACTTTTTCTCATATTCAGGTCTGTAAAAAGCTGCACATTCACCAATTTCTGGAGCACACTTACAAGGCAACAATGCAACAAAAGATTAAATGGTCATCCTTTGGCACCACCCGTACTCAATTTCTAATGGCAACTTCGAATTAGAAACAATGCAAAGATAAGCATACAAGAAAAAATCTACAGTATGAGAAATATGACCTGAGAATTTCAAAGCAGTCAATTACTAGCAGTCTACAACTATTTGAGACATGGAACATTAGATTCAGTCAATTTCGAATTTTATTCTATTAAAAAAAGGCACTCATACAATTGAGAACTTCAGAACAAGTATTGAAATCAGCGAGAAAAATTGCAATATGGCTACACTAAATTTGACGCACCAATATTGAAATCTATTGTGGCACTCCCCTGCCTCCCCTATACATACTTGCATATGCTGTGCCAGTATTTGAGCGGCCGTAGCACGGCAGTGCGTATGTGACTGAATATGCCATTACAAAAGATAGCCAGAATTGTACCTAGCAGAATAAATAAAGAGCAATTGTGAAACTTAGAAGAAATGTGCACAACCCAACATTATTATCTCAAGATGAAGCACCTGAAAAGAACAGTTGCTATAGCTGCTCCCGACTGAAAACGCATGTTTAGACAATTATTCTATAATGATACGACTCAGAGAGCTCACCAAAGAAACTCAGATTTTAACTTTCTGTCCGTAGATGGCAGCCACAAGGAGGGAAGTCCTTTCTAGGCACCAGGACACGAAAGTTTTTCCGCGTACCGCAAGTAGCTCTGTCTGAAGCTTGCGCTCAAAACAATGTAGAGACTTTGCCCTCCGCTGCATATCTCACAACATTTCTCTTGCAACCTTAACACGAACAATTGTCTGCTGCTTATTGCGGGAGACTTCCTGAACCATCGAATCTTGTCAGCAGCTGTGTGCATATTTAAATGACAATAGCGTCGGCTTTTTGCCTACTAAGCAGGTTTCTTTATAAGCTTGTTTCACTCACAAACATTGCAGCTAATGACGTTTGCCAACTTGCCATATCACGCCACAAATAAACCTTTTAACCTTTTAATGCCTGAATTATAAAACTGCTGAGAAAATACAAATTGTTTTCATTTCACAGCTTTAAATAGCAACCGTTATATGATTGCACAGTTTAGTTACCTAAAATGCACCTTTAATGCATACTTTTATGTATGTCACAAATTCTCCCCATGTACAAGAAGCGAGGACCTTCCGATGAAAAACATGCTTTACAAGTACACAGCATGTCATGTGCCACGTCTTGCGGGCATACACACCAAATAAACACAATTATTAAAGATGGAACTTGCCGCAGCCAGGTGAGAAAGAACGAAGAAGTGAACTCTCTAGCATGCACTTCGCACCATCAGCTACAAATCAACTTGTTGTAGCATAAAATACATTACATGAGACAGCGCTCGTTTTTTCACGCTGAAAGCTACGTTCCCCATGAGTACTTGACAGCTGGCGTTAATGACGGCACGCATTCCGTGACTTGCTTGCTTGAAGTTTTTCAGTATGTTACGAATTCAAAGAAAAGAAGGGTATGTTGTACCCTTCTTTTGTTTGTCCGTGTGTCAGTGTGCGCTAAAAATAAGTTATGATGCACTCATACCAACTAGCTCGTCTTTCAATATTACTTCAGAATTCATAACACTAGGAAATAAAGGGTTGAAGGGCAATAAAAGAGCTACAAGCCCTTATAAGCTTGTAATTACGCCACCAGTGGTCTCATGGAGCAAGCACAGGTGAAGTTATTTGTGGTCGTCGTTACGAAGATAGGCTGTACATAGTGTGCCACATGGTGCACTGTCTACAATGCGGTATGTACCACTAGGTTATGCAAGGTGGGCTGTACATGATGTACCATTGTTACAAAGGCAGGCTCCACATAACATACCTTGGTGGGTTTTTTTTTTAGCTTTCCTTAAAGCCAGTAATGGGGCAAGTAATCAATCCGCAATATGGTACCCAGCCGATTCACACTTTCTTGATGCTCTTCACAAAATTGGTTGTCAAGTTACCGAAATGTTCGTGTTCTTTGCACGCGAGATCACACTCATAGAATCTGATCTCGTAAGCTAAAAACTTGTTTATTTGTTTGTATGTTTATGTAAAGCCGCTGTTGCCTTGGCAATACTGATTCAGGCTGACCAAGAAGTTCTGTGCTGCACTGCACTTGCATAGCCGACCTCGGTGAGCCGTGTTCACACTTTGGAGCAGAACTTCCCACAAACTCAACAATGCAACACTGATTCATCCAGGTCTTCGCAACAAACTCTGTTCTGTCATAGAGCTCGACACATCGAAGACCATTGTTTCCACACACTGTCCTAGTTTTTTTACTTTTGACACAACACAGAAGCCACCCGTTGAAAGTTCGCACTGTTGAGTATGTTTCTTGTGTAGTTCGAGCAACCATAAACGTTGCAGTCGACCATGGCTGGTAACTCAACACGCAAAGACATACTGCTGCCTGAGCACTTTCACAAGGTCTTGCAGCATGCAGTAGAAGAAGAAACTTCCAAGGCCGCAGTATTGTGAATGCCACACACGAGGACACTGGAGAGCACCACACAACACCCATCGCACAAACACAGCTAACACAGTGGCAAGCACGGGTCGTCTGCTGCACAACTATCTCTAAAAAGGCACTCAACCCAGCACACCACATTAAAGTTGAGATTAAGTGCACAATCGCTATTGCAGCAGTACTGGCATCACTGAATGAATGTTTGTGATGCTAGCCCGTCTTCTAGACACAGCCCTCGCAACTAACTACCACTTGTATGCCAAGTGCAGTAACGCAGCAACAGCTGAATATGCTATGAACGTTAGCTCATGGGCACTCTATTATTGAGCTAGATGAATGAACGAAATGAAGCTTTGGTTAAATTAACCCTTAAAATTACGACACGGGTGTCCTCAGAATTGTGCAATGTAACATTACCAAATGACTGAACATGAAATGTTCACCGATGGGAGCTTCTATCATGCCTCTTTGCCCAAGCTGTGTTGACATCATGTTGGTCAGGTGAGCACAGAACTTTAAAAAAGGACAAATAAGGAGGAAATATACTCGGACAGGTGAAGACAATATACCACGAGAGTTGAAGATTGGGCGAGTTGGTTCGTCGTAATTGAACTGGTATAGCGCATTACGGGGAAGAAGAAACGGCCGAGCAGACTGACACAAGAGGACAGAGCGCTATGTCCTCTTGTGTCGGTCTGCTCGGCCGTTTCTTCTTCCCCGTAATGCGCTATACCAGTTCAAGTACGACAATATGCCGGTTTCCCCATCTCTACCTTTGCATGCATAAAGATAATGAAAACAAACAAGCCATATAAGCTTGCACCAAAGAATGACAATGTCACAACAAAAATAAATTTGGGGTGTTCCCCATTTGGCCACTTAATAATTTCAAAAAAAAGGAAGGGGGGGGGGGGAGAGCACTTGGGAACCTTGGCCTCCATGCTCTCATCGATAAGCAAGGATCCCAACACAGTGGTTTTGGCCAATGTTCCATAAAAAAACACTAATCCCTTTTCGCCCATGTGTAGAATGCAGGTTCTGCTTTCTGTAGTGATTATGCGTACAGGGTCTAGACGGGTTGTTGTGTTACTGTGCAGCTCGGGCTTCCTTCAATTCGTGAAAACCGTTGAAATGCACTGTCGTCAATGCACATGTGTATCGCTTACTAATAAGACGACCATTCTTTTAAAAAAATACACGAATCAGTAATATGAGCGCCACATCCATAAGTTAGGAGAGGAATGCATCAGTCGAGCTGGCGCGAATCTTTTCATGATAAACATTCTCTTCATAACTCCGAAAATATAACCGTATGCGAATGTATTTGTCTTCTCTGGTTATATGAGCATTCCGGACTCGTGGTGACATATGCACATGGGCAGTTACAAGCAATTTCCACGTGTAAATGTAGCTCTCTCTAACTGAGTAGATAGCACTTTTCTCACTTCTTGGTTTCGTCCACGTTTAAAATTCCGCGCTGTCCTTGACATAATAGCGAAGGTTGGGCTAGTTGGTGGTTCATGCTTGGGATGTAAAAACAGCGCAAAAAATATAGACAAGGACAGAGTGCGGTGTCGTCTCTTCCTGTGTTCGTGTCTATATTTTTTGCGCTGTTTTTACATCCCAAGTTGTTCTTGACAGTAGGCGTGATCACTTGCCAATTAACTTGCCCAAATGTGCGCCCTTCTGCCTAAAGCTGGGCCGAGAAGATAACATAGGCGGTCTGCATGCCACGACACGAGAGGTGTCACTGTAGTCAAGTGAGCGGCAGCGTGCGTGCGGATACACACGTGCGGCTCAACTGCCGCTCGTGCGAAACGCATAAAATGAACCGCACTCGAGACAGGTGTGCCGCTTTCCTGGGCCCAGCAATGCACTCGACAACGCAAGTGGCCCCTGCGTACTGCTCGAAGGTTGTGCTGCGGTTAACAGAGCATCGCTGTCAGGCAAAATGTAAACAGTAGCTTTTGGGTATCCCGTCGTGCGCGGTTTCGGGCAGCAATCGATCAAGGGCCGGCAGCGAGCGATGCCGGCGGCACGCGAACATGGGCACGGCTTGCTTACTCACCGATTGGCTCACGGTGCACGACCTCAAAGCGCTGCAGCTCGGCAGTACGCCACCAGCACCTTCTCGATCCAGCAACGACGCTCTGCCGACCTTCGAGCATATCACGTGACGCGCTCAGCTGTGCGCCGCTAAGCCACCATAGCGCCGCTAGGGTGGCTAGAATATAGCGCCGCCTTTCGCTCCGGCTACGAGGAGGCGACCGTTGTCGGCTGCAGTCGGCCGCCGCCCCGAGGACGTCGTCATCTGTAGGAAAGAAGTCGGCCTCTGCTGCAAATACACGCTGATACAAAGGAAAGAAAAATAAGCTATATTCTTTACGAAGGACGCAAAAGGTGGCTCCTTTTGGTGTCAAAAAATAAGTAAATACGACACGTTATAGACGAAAAAAATTGCCCGCAGCTTCCCTCAGGGGAACACTGAGGAGGATGCGGAGCATATAATTGGTTAACGGGGTGTTAAAGTGCGACTTACTTGGGTCGATGGCTAAATTGGTTAACGTGGTTGTGAAATGGGGTGTTAAATTGCGACTTACTTGGGTCGATGGCTAAATTGGTTAACGTGGTTGTAGGAGGGGGTGTTAAATGAGTGAACACGTACACACGTATGCGAAAGGGCGGCGCTGGTCGAAGGGACGTCGATCATTGTGTTTGTGGATTCGTTGGAATTCATTTCACCGCGACCTTGGACGTCGACGCGCCGTACAAACGAACCGACGAGCGGCAACTGAGCGAGCGAGCGCCGACCTTGAGTATATATACAGCACGACGGCGCATGCACTGTCAGCTGTTGAATGTTCTCGAAGCGCGACGCCACATGCGCGTCCACTGGAGAATCAGGAGAATTGTAGATGTCGAACGCGGTGTGTAGAGGAGGAAGGGTGCACAGATGGTGGAGGAGTGAAGCGCGCGCGGTGTGTAGAGGAGGAAGGGATGCACAGATGGTGGAAGAGTGGGCGACGGCGCGACGGCGCATGCGCGCGCGTCAGCTGTCGAATGTTCGAGAAGCGGTGCGGACGGCGCGGACGGCGCACTACAAGGCGCGAGTATAAGATGCTTCCGCATCTAAAATAAAACAGCCCTAAAGACGGGACGAGAAGAGGACACAAACACGGCGCTGAGGCCGTGTCCTCTTCTCGTCCTGTCTTTCGCGCAGCCTACCACACAGCACCAACCTGCCTTATCAAGCACTCTGATATTGTATCCAGGCGTATGATATCACGCAGTGTACATTTTCACGACGTGTTTTCCATTAGTACTTCGATCATTCGCTGCCCATGCACACAGTTTATTAGCCTTTTTAACAACTACACGAGAGCCTTTCGTGCCAAACAGATCTACTACCAAACATTTTTAGACGTTTTGTAGTATACAACGACTACCTCAATGTGATTCTTCGAATGCTATGTCGGGAAGCTTGAAATGCCAAAATATCATGTCGAATGAGCGGTGACCGTCAGTTTTTACAAATAATCGCAGGTAAAAAGACCCCAAAATGATTGGTTTCACACCACAACGCAAGTGCGTTGCTATCAACGGTTGGATAAAAATATTTTTTTTTTTCAAGCCAAAGCAGCCAAGGCGCTCTTTATAGTTCCAGAAACATGCTCGGGAAACTGCGACCTAAAATCGGGAGCAACGCAGGCAGGCATTGGTGCCGCACACGCCAGTACGCTTCGACCGTGCTACATAGCAGGCCTACAGTACAGTACATGTTGAAAATTGTCCTTCCTCCGCAACGATGCGCAATTGCTAAATAAAGCTGTACTGTGTGTTTTCGCCGACGGTTATTTGTCACAAGAATAGCTGGATCTATTGCTAGCGCCCTTTCGGATTACGTGCTTTTCTCGGTAAGTGAAATTACCTTTTCTCGAACAAAAACCAGCCCTGTCACGGGACATGACGGCAAGGGAGGGGAGGGGGGAGATGAGCTATTAGGAGATTAAATTCATCATCATCATCATCATCAGCAGCAGCAGCCTAACTACACTCACTGCAGGGCAAACGCTTCTTCCATGGCCCTCCAATCAACCCGGTCTTGTGCTTTTCGTTGTTACGTTAAACCTGCGAGCTTCTTAATTTTATCGGCTAACTTTCTGCCTCTACTTCGTGCGTTCGCCTTCTCTGGCAATCCAGTCAGGTTACCCTTAATGACCAGCGGTTATCCGGCCTACGTGCCATGCCCGCCCATGTCCATTTGCTCTTCTTGATTTCAGCTATGAGATCCTTAACCCCGCGTAGTTTGCTCTCTGACCCACTCTGCTCTCTTCTTGGCTCATCATCTTCCATTCCATCGCTCGCTGCGTCGTCTTCAATTTAAGCTGAACCCTGTTTGTAAACCTCCAGATTTCTGCTTCGTAGGTTAGTGATTGCACTGGCAAGATGCAGCTGTTATATACGCTCCTCCTGAAGGTCAGTGACAGAGAACCATTTATGATTTGAGGATGCTTGCCGAATGTGATCCACCCTATCCTTATTCTTCTAATCATTTCACTCTCATCGTTCGGCTCCGAGTTTATTACCTGTAGACTTATATTCCTTTACGACTTCCAACGTCTCTTCACCTGTCGCAAGGGGCTGTTTTCTGCCGAGACTGTTGAACATTACTTTAGTTTTGTGCATATTAATTTCCGGACCTACCTTTCTGCTTTCCTTGTCTAGTTCAGTAAACAGTAATTCGTCCCCTGGGTTGCACACAAGGCCATGTCATCAGCGAATCGCAGCTAGGTTACTAAGGTACTTTCCATTAACTCTTCCCAATTTAGGGTCCTGAACACCTCATCCTGCCTTTCTTTTTTCTCGTTTCTCTCTCTCTCCTGTAAACACGCACGCGCGCGCGGTGAATAGCATTGGAGAGATCATGTCCCGCTGCCTTATACACCCAAATTCTTTATTGGTATTCTGTCGCTCTCTTTATGGAAAACCATGGTGGCTGTGGATCTAGAGTATATTTCTTCCAGTATGTTTAAGTAGGGTTATTTAATGCCCTGATTCCGCAGTGCCGCCATTACAGCTGATGTCTCGACTGAGTCAAACGCCTTCTCGTAATCTATGAAGGATATTGGTTGTATTTCACGCATTTCTCTATTACCTGATTGATAGTATGAATATGGTCTATTGTGGAGTAGCCTGTACGAAGTCCAGCTTGGTCCTTCGGTTGACTAAAGTCTAATGTCGCCCTAATTTATAGCTATTTTCGTAAATTTTTTGTAGAGAATGAACATTAATATGATCATACTGTAATTTTTTAAGCCCTTGACGTAAGCTTTGTTATAGATTAAGATTATGTTGGCATTCTTCCAAGATTCTGATACCCTTACCGTCAAGAGACACTTGTTTTCCTAACACAAGCATTCCATCATCTCTCAGGAGGCCTGTTTTTACTTCACCCTCACCACCGTCTTTGCCTCTTAGCATTCCTTCTGTGAGGTGATTCCACGAGAGATCGACACGGGTCCAAAAGTTGATATTTTAGATTTCATTGAGTATTTTATATTTCGTGTACCTCTCACCAGGTAGCCCGAAAGTCAACTTCGTTTTATTATTAACCGCATAACTTACGAGAAAAAAATATCAAACTTCACCAACACGGAGGCACCAACTTTGTCACCTGTCATTTTCAAAAATTGCAGATGCTATAAAAAGACAAGTATTTTTGTTTCAAGGAAGTTATTTTTTTACCTGAAATGCATGTCTAATTAAGAATGAATTCATACGGTTTCAAGTTTGCAGACCTTAAGAAAATAGCTTTTAAAACTGTCTAATTTTGCGACAGTTTAAAATAAGTTACGTATTCCTCATTTTTTTTCTCCGAAAGTAATGCAAGCAGCGTTTTCAAACTTGACACGTTTTAAGGATATAGTGTGTTCATTAGGTACATAAATTATTGCTGCCGTAGGGCAAATGTAAATTTTTATATATTGCCTCAAAGTTCTCATATTGGCAAAAGCGTACTCCAGTGAAATTTGAATCATAAAAAAAACATCTTCGATTTTTCTTAAAATCTAATAAATAGACAACTGATGGCCATCATACAGTAATATAGAAAAACATGTTGCATTATCTTGTCTTTAGCGACAATATTCGTGGTACAAATCACAGCTTTTCGAGAATGCGCTGATAAGTTGGGAAATCTAAAAATCGAAACGGAAAAGCGGCAATAAGCTTCAAACGCGAGTAAACGTGACCACATTTGGTGAAGAAAGGCTGTTTTAGCACTGTGACAAATACGTACCCATGAAGGCGCATTTATGCTCCTGATAACACAGCTCTAATGGAGGAAATCTTCGACACTGTAACTCAGTTTCAAAACATCTGTCTATATTTGCAGATATACTCAAACATGAAAATGTTCCAACGCAAGTGTTGGGTCTCGCTAGAAAAAGCATATGCCCTTGAAGTACCCTCACTGGTATTTTGGTGGTGACTGCGTGAAACAAGAGATGCGCTCAAAATGGCTGCATCTTTTGCAGATCACAAATATTTAGCAGTACGTGACGCTAACAAAACACGACCACGATCAGTGCCCTCAGATGTACTTAGCCAAACATGCCAAGAACGTATGCCTGGAACACGTGGCAACAATTTCCATTGGCTCTTCTTAAACTGACGGAATGTTTCTAGCTCGTCTGCATTTGCAAACAGCAGCTTGACATTCTTGAGCTTTGCGCTCATTTGCGCCACCATTTGGGATGCTGACATAATCACAGCTGAGCTTGCCGCTCTGAGGTTGTAGAGCGTAGCCTGATGCTTTAGTAGGCCACCAACACCGTCACAAGAGTTCTTGCCATGTCCTGTGGCTGAAAAATGCACTTTGTTGATATGAGCTTTCTGACATAACTCGAACAACTGGTACTTGTTTTTAAAGTGACTGCATGCACCATCAGAAACATAAGTAACATGCGTGTCAGGCTTAAGTTGTTCCTTCATATAGTTGTGCATTATTTGTAGAGCGAAGCAGGCATGTGCAGCTTCATGGCATGTGTCATCACTGATGACGGCAAAACTTTGAATTGATTGCTTCCTTCTGACGACACACGTGAATATATAGACACCTGTCTTTGGTGCCTGTGATACGGCTGTACCTCATTCGGTAAAATGGCTGTCCGATTTTCGGTGAAATAAAAGTGAAAAAGGCAAGATTC